CCATTCTTTATAAGAAATTAGTATTCTTCTTTTATAGCCTTTTTTCACTTCATTGCATCTTAAAACTTTATAGCATCATACAAAGACAACGGATTAGCAAAGAAAGCAACACTTGCATGTTCTTCACTTACTTGACAAAAGATGTAGTTCTTCTACTATTCACTACGAGGTTTTCTTTCTCTCAAGGAATATCTTCTTTTATTTGAAGGAGATTCAACTTGTTTTACTTCAAGCTCTCTTCTAAGCTTTTTTTTTTCTTAAAACTTATCTTTTTTGACTTAAAGGTTGATATTCTTCATCATCATCATCATTATAATCTTCAATATCTTCATTACTTGTCTTTGAAATTTATAAGGCCTTCTTTTTTATCTTCTTTGAATCTTCATCTTTATTCAAACTTTTAACTTCATTTTCTTCATCTTCTTCTTTTGTTGTTGGAATTGGAGATGTATCCATAAACACATCATTACTCTCACTTAGACACATCTCCAAAAGCTTACAAGTACTTTTATGCTCTAAAAATTCAACATCACAACTTTTGATGATCTTTTTGGTGTCCAAACACATTAGCTTATATGCCTTGGTACCTTCACAATATCCTAAAAAAATACGCTTTGTATCTTTTGCATCAAGTTTGGACCTGATACAATTTGGTATCTTTGCATATATAATACATCTAAAGGTCCTTATATATAAGATACAAGGTTGTCTTCCACTCCAAGCTTCTTGAGGTGTCATTGATGCAAGAGCACTTATTGGACGCCTATTTCTTGTATATACTGCATTCACCATAGCTTTCGTCCAAAATTCATAACCTAGCTGCCATCTAAAAATCTTAGCCATTATTATAGTTACATCTTTTAATCCTTTTTTATCTTTTGACTATGAGCAACTTACTATGATTTAACTTTATGTGGTAGCAACTATGGAAGATCTTATTAATCTTCAATACTTATAATAACACAATACATTCTTTTATTTAATAAATATTTTTTTAATTATAATTATCATCTATGAATTAATACTTTAAATTTTTCAAAAATTGATCATCTTTAGAAAAAATATTTAATAAATCATTTATTAAAGTTGTACACAACAAAAAAGAAAGAATTAAATGATACTCAAGAATAACAAAAAATCAATACATATACTATTACAAGGAACAATCTCAATTCTACATTGACAACAAAGTATGGTTATTTTTTTGTAGTATTAAGACTAGTTACTCTTATAATAAATTAGATTATTGCAAACTTATATCATTTCTTATTTTTAAATAGATTAATTTATTTATATATCAATTATACCAATTAAAATCTATTAAGATTCATCTTATATTCTACATGTCTCTTTTTAAGCTATATAAGATAATAAATATATCAAAAAGAAGATAAATATCACTTCCTTCCATAGAAATAGATAATAATCAAAAATTTGAGGTCAAAGAAGTCTTAGATTCAAGATGGCACTAAAATAGGTTGGGATATCTTTTTTTATTGGCACAAATTTGATATTAGTGAATGCTTATAGAAGCCAACTAAGAATCTTCAAAATGTAATAAAAAAAAAAAAAAAAAAAAAAAAAAAAAAAAAAATGATTTTTTTTATTGACAACATCTATCAAAATTAAGATGAAAAATCAAGTAGTTTTTTGCTATAAAGAAAAAATAGTTCAGTGAAGATTATATTTTATATTTTATCTTAATTTATAATTTATATATATTTATCATACTAAAAAGATTGAGAATCAATAATCACCAGATTCATCATAAGAACTATTATTTGTTGAATTTTCAAATAAGATATTTAAATTGTTACAATCTTCAAGATAATATAAAAGAAATGAAGACCGTCAATAACATATTTATCCTAAAATTAATGGTGAAATAAAACATATTTGATATCATAATCTTTAAAGAGACTTCTAATATTTGGTGATATTATTAGAAGTAGAAACTATCCTCAATAATGTTTCAAATATTTTATTTGAAAGAAGTTGTAAAGGTCCCAACAATAACAAAATATCAAGGTGGCCTTTTGCCTTTAAATAGAATACTATCAATAGCTAAGATAACTTATCAACTACCTTCAAAGAAAAAAAATTCAAAATATGTAGCAAATACAATTTGTTCCATTTTAGACTTTTTCAACATGTGATTACTACTTCTTATAGAACTCATTTCTAAAAAAGAGGAATAATATCACATGCATACATATTTACCTAAATTAAATAAATTAGATAGAAATAAGTAGAAGTAAATGCATGGTATAAGTTGGTTGTATGGTGCATATGTAAGAAACTTATCTTGCAAATTAAACACATATTTTTCAAGTTGAATATATGTTAGAGGTCCTATAGAACATTACTACATAGCTCTTTGTTAGATAGTAGATATGGAATCAAAAGTGAGGCCTTTTTGACTCTTATCAATGCTTTTCATGTATTTAATCTTGTTTCAAGAATTTTTAGTTTTTCTTGTCTTTGATAATAGCCATTCTAGTTTAATATTATACTATCTTTGAATAATCATCTATTTCTTTTGAATGATACAAGAATGTATTGATAGTTAATAATTATTATATTAAAATATATATTTGCTAAGAATTACTTGATAAAATATTTTTAATCTAAAATTAATCAATAATTCTTAGAATCAACTATTATGCTAATCATTTTGAATTATGATAGTAAGAGAATACTAGATATGTATTTAGATTTGTAAAGAAATGCAATAAATACCTTTATTAACATAATGTAATTAATATGGTTGTTTCAATGGAAATGGCTATCAAAATTTTAAAATCTATTATTACAATTATGAGTGGTTTAGTAAAAAGATAAGTAAAAAGATAAGTAAAAAGATATGTATTATATTTAGGTTATAATATGAAGAAAAAATTTAGCTATAGTAAAGACTATTATTTTTATCTTATTTTAATAATAATAATAATAGTAAATAAATTAATAATAAATAAAACCTCTATTTAAGCAAAAATATACTTTAAAAATCAAAGAAGTTTTTGTATTAGAAAAGCTTAAGGGAATGATTTTATTTCATTAATTTAATAAATTTATAATATATTTTAAATTAAAAAATTAAAAATTCTACTTCAAGTATTTATATTTTTGGCATATTAAAAGAAATAATAATAATGGTTGTTATTTGTGATCAAACAATAATCAAGACTATATATCTTATTATAACTAAGTCAATAGATAATGTGAAGAAATTACACATTTTTTATATAGACCAAACTAACCAAGCTTTGTTACTTTTTTCTTTTATATTTGTGGATACTACCACTACAATACATTGTATTGTTTTAACTTTAGTTTTTTTTAATAGGCTAATTTTTATATCATAATATATATATATATTGATCCACAATATGTTGCAAATACTAATTATCTTTGTTACAAAGTTTTTATTATTTGATTTCAAAATAATAAAAAAAAATTAATTGGCCAAAATAGCTATGCTATTTTTTGAAATAGTTCAAGCAATTACAAAGTCAATTTTTGATGAAAACTTTGTAGAAGTAGATAAATCACAAGTAAAACTTATAATAAAATTTATTTTAATTTTTTATAGCAGTATTTTATTGAAAATTCTTATAACAATGTTTTATTAGTAAAAACCAAGAAAATTATTTGTAAAATTTTCTTATTAAGCTTGCTTTAGAATATCAAGTCTTACAACTAAAAATGATTTGATTGACCTGTAACAATAGGTATTGGTTACTAGCCGTACATATTACAACTCTACTTGTACTATATCACAACAAATAACAATACAAGAAGTTAGAATTGACCTATCTACTCCTTTTATTGTCCATGCTCGTTGAAGTTGATATGGAGCTGCAACTAACAACAAGCTTTGGTCAAACGAAAACTTCATACAAGTGGGGTAAAATTGTTCGGTGTTGAACTTGACTTGGAGCAGAAGAAAGAGCTTGGAGTATGAGCAGGATCTGCATTCTCATCGACTCAAATATTTCTCAACTTTGAGAGAGTTTTATTGTTGCCATCTGCACCCAATGCATCACACTCATCAGTAACCTCGCTTCTCTCCAGGAGCGGCAGACAAAAGCCCTTCAGAGTGAATCTGAATGATGAAGAGGTGATGTGCAGAGAACTGTTGGATTAAATTTTAATTTCTTTAGTTCAACCATCAGTACACGAGCAGGTCTGAAAGGAATTCATTGAAAATGTACAAATTGAATATCCGAACTAATCCCCGCATAGAGTCATAGTTGTAATCGTTGGTAACAAGACTATGGGATCAGCACCTACCCAGGTGGGTTCAAGCACTCCAGCTGGGATTGCTTCATCTCACGATGTGAAACTGCTATGCCTCATTGTCATCGCTTGATCAAGTGTCTGATTCGTACTCTTTCCCTGTCTTCCTTTTTACCATTCAAGAACAATATTCAAGGAACTAAAACTAGGATTTAAGGATTAGCGGAGGGATTATTCTCAAAAGTTCTTTGGCCATGTGAACTCAACGGTTCTATTTAAACTCTTCACCCTTAAACACGTCCATGGGTGTTTGTTAAATGAAAGCTCTAAAATTACTAATGCTGACGTTTGAGGCCAATAATTTCCATTCACATGGTCTGAGCTTTGCGCTCAAGTAATTGCGCAAATGACTTGAAAGCGTTTGACAAAAATGACCTCTTGAAGGCCATGAAAAACATGACCTGAATATGCATCTTACGTGTATACCTAGGATGTAGAGCATGTAAAGCAGGTGGTTGAAGTTCAATACAAGTGTGCCCCGAGTCGACTCGCGGATGACTACTTTGCTCATGTGATTGTTCCATTCCAACTCAGTATATTTCGAGTTACTACCAGATAGCTTCCAGAATATAACTGCTTCAATGCAGCGGTCGCATATGTTACCAATCTCAACACTATATTAACAGAGAATAGTAACACAAAAGAATTTCTACATAATTCGTTTCCACAACAGGCCTTGACCGCACATCGCCTTATCATTATTCATACAAAGGAATTCATCCATGGAAGATTACATAGGTGTGGTAACCGTGTTCTGAAGTTCATCAATACTTGTAGACTCAGCATAAATACGGTACAAATTGCATAAAATGCCTCAATTACTGGGGAAAAAAAAAAAAAAAAAGGAGAAGGATTCGCAAAAATACAAAGAGTTACTCACAAACTCTTGAGCACCGAGCGTGGCAAACCCAGTAACCAATTACCCCAACTAGAAGATGTTCATCATCTGATTGCGGCTTATGGTATGTGCAAAATTTGAACTCAGGCCAATGAAGGATTCAGCATCATTCTCACCAGAGACCTACTCCAAGTGTTCCCGTATCTTGGAAAAAGTAAGATGCTCCATAGTAGAATAAGAAGATGCAATGGCCGAGGCTAACCTACTTGTTTTAAGGAACTGTTATAAAATCAACTAAGGGTTTTATCGTCCGCACAGCTTGTCTCGACGCTGGAGGAGACGTTACAACGAACCATGAGTTTGACGGCATTCCGCCTAGAAACACGCATGACCTCCAGGCATTCCTGAAGATCGGCGTCACAAGCAAGAAGCATCCACTCTTCGTCGTCGTCGAGATATTTCAAGTCAAACTTTAGCCCTGCCAACTTCAGCCTCCTGTTCACCTGATCTCTCAAGTCAAGGTAAGATTTGTCGCTAGAGAGCTTAAACCGCACCGTGTCTTCATTGTATGTGACCTTCATAGTGATGACGTCACTATGAGCTGGCCATGTCTTCATATGTGAAGATGGATTGCCTGCAGACGATGGGGAGCTGCAATCACTAGTCCCTTGAGCGGTGGAAGAGCCAAAACGTGGGGAGTTGGACGTACCCGAACCACCCATTACCTCCCGCTCTTGTTCCTGGTCTTCGTTGAGAGAACTTGATGAAACACCGACCTCAGGACTTTTATTTTTTTTGCAAACATCTTTAATTGCAACCTCAGCACTGGCACTATCATGAACTTGGTTTTGACATCCAGATCCTGTCTTACTTTCCGGCAGCCCGCTTCCTCTAGAATCAACCTTGGAAGTTGGGGGCGCAATATCATCATAGGATCCTGAACTTGGAGAACTTTGTTGGCTCCTTGCCCCCAAGAGATCGTGATGAGCTGTAACTGCATCACAGACGACTGCAAGTCCAGTGTCAATTGTCAAATTGCTTCCAGGAGACAAGGTGCTTGCTCCTCTAAACCCAGAATCATGTCCAACTGCGAGATCATTGCCCTCCGCAGATACACCAGCACTTTTCTCGTTTGTGTGCCAATGTCGACTCGGTTTAGTTTCTGGAGACGAAAGAATGGACATGAGCACCGACTGGGGCGAACATGAATCATGCTTTTTGCGATCTTCCTCTTTTGGCAACAATAAAGTCCCACCACGCACCTTATGGTCCTCCAAATCACGATTGCGGGGGGCTGGCGTAGACCACGAGACAGACCACTTGCTTTTAGCGCATGATCCATCACTACCAGCGTGGCCAGAACCATTATCAGCTGCCATAGATGCGGTGGTGATATCTCCTGTTAATGCATTTATTCGCAGGGCACCATCTGCTCCTTGAACTGAATCAATAACTCCCTGCAATTTCTTTAACGACCGGCTAACTTTATTGATTTTGCGAGATGGCCATCTAGAGATTCCGTGTTGCCGACAGATCCTCTTAAGAGTTGTGGGACATACTGTAAAAAACAATGCAACAGTAGTGGTTGGCATAGAGTCACGGAAAATGACAATAATTGCTCAACAGATTGGAAAAACAAACAGGACTCCTGTAATAGACACCAGCCACAAAAGGATGCTCAAATTGGTGCACAAGGCACGGTCGGACTATAAACATTATTGATAACTATGCCCTCCCACACCCAGAGGGATCGAGCAATTCACAATGAGAGGATTCAGGGAACTAACCACCAATGCTCTTGGCAGCATCTTTCAGGCTACCCGCGAAGTATTGTTGAAGGACACTAAGGCCGATAGTCTTTTCCGTTGTTCCTCGTCTTCTATCAAGCTTACGCCTTTGAGATGCAGCAACTTGAGCTGCATTTGAGCAACCAAGCCTGTCCAAACCGAGGACATGATTCACCAAAGGGTCGCTGTCCTCACTTTTAGATGCGTGTTGTTGCGATTCACTGGGGTTCAATAGATAAGATGATTGCCAATTTGAATTTCGCTGGAGTGAGAGCTGGCTAATTAGAGAAGGATGTGGAAGCTGACAATGAGTTGCTTGTTCTTCGCCTTTAGCACCTGATGAAATTAAAGATATCCCTTCTTGGCTTCCGTATGGGGTACGTGGATGGAAGACACAATCTCCATCAATCGGTTCTTCTTTAGCTTCAGCCTTTACAAGCACGTTCCCATTTCCAGCTATGTGAAGTTCCTCCTTCTCCTCCTCATCGGTGATGGTTCTCAAGCTCCGACAAGTTCGTTGCATTGTGATAGACAATGAATTAAGCAACAATTGCTGCTCCTTGCTTTCTACGCACGTTGAGGGAAGAAAAAACTCCAAAATAAAGTCATCGTTGCCAGTGCGAATGCTCCGCAGTCGAATGGCTACAGCTGCCCCAAGGCCAAAACATTTAGCATGGTGTGCGAGAGGATATTCAGTCTTACAATGGATTTTCACATCGGAATCGAAGTTCGGTTGGTTTGTTTCGAAAGCCTTGCCAGCCACCCCCTGGCCCTTCTCAAGACTATGCTCCAGGCAGGCTCGGCGAAATCCCCAAATCCGACCATCGCTCACATAGCAAGGACCATCACCGGTCCGGAGAATCTCGCCACTACAAGGGGATGAGGATGTATTCCGACTCAAACCGCTTCCATTCTCGGACCGCATGCGTTTGCTGCCACTCTGATGAACTTTGATGTCCATGCTGCCATAGCGATAAGTAGGCACCCAAGTCTGCGCCAGTGGGAGTTTGTGAGTCTCGCATACGGCTGTTAGTACTTCCGCAATCTCGTTCAGGACCGCTTGTCGACCTTGTGACAGCCTCTGCATCACCATACAGTCATGAAAAAGTTCCAATCAGGAAATCCCTTTTCTCAGAATAAAAATAAAAATAAAATACAGCAGTGTAAATGAGTGTGCACTGGGCAGCTAATCATCTTTTTGCGCCCATAAGGCAAATATACAAATTGCAGCATGGATATCAAGGTTCACCAGAATAGTACCTCGGGTACTGGCGTCTCTAGACTGTTCACAGTTGATAAATGCACAGCCTGAATGAAAAACAAGAAATAAGATTAAAAAAAATAAAAAACCGGACAGTTGCTTCAAAACCCGTGAAAGAGAAATCAATACAAGATCATCGTTTCCCATCAGCAATGTCAAATAAATGAACAATATGCATGAAAACTGTTACTTTTGCAGTGAAAAGAATGAAATACAGAAGCACAAAGCTGAATATGGAACAACCTGCACAGCTCGTGAGACGATGTCCACGTCGGAATGAAATTGAATCTTCTCGGTACACCCAACCAACTCAATAACTGCAACGCACTGACTAGAGACAGGATCCATGATAGGGAGTGCAAGTGATCCACGAACGTCACAGCGCTGAGCTTCTACATGTCGCAGGTACTCCTGACAATTATACATCTGAACATTGGGACTCCACTCCGGCATCTGGTGCACAAATACACGACCGGGGAGGCCCATGCCGGTAATCCCAGCATCGGCTGCAAATTCATAATCCTCTGAAGCGCTCCTAAAATTCGACAGCTTATCATTCTTCTGCTCCAGAACGAATGGCTGATCACGCGTGATAAGAACTCGCTTGGAAGAACTGCTGCTCGTTTGCTGCACCACAGGCATCCAAACTTGTACCAGCACGTCCATCCGAAGGCGGCCGATGTAGCGCACAGCCTGCAGCAGTCGGTCGCGGAAAGACATTGGCGGACTTGACAGTGCACGTGTTAGCGTCCTCTTCCTTGTCTCCCCTTCGCCCACTACCTTTTCTTCCTCTGAAAGTCCAGATTTTTCCTCGGCTTCGTCCTCGTCATCCTCACTTGGCATTGCCAGAAAGGACGAGTTCACACGACTTTTTTCGAATAGATCATTGTAATCCACCACGTTTTCCATCGAGCTTAAATTTTGATCCGACAACAGCATGTCGATGTTGCCACTTCCAACAGGGCTTGGGCTCAACGGAGGCGGGAAAGCAGATGGAGCGCCATCGAGGACTTGTTGCAGGAGTTGCAAGCCGTCTAAACCAGCTGCACTGGGGGTCTGCGAGGAGTACAGTGATGATGAGTGCGAGGTTACGGGTGAGGGGGGTGAGAAGGAAGCATAGCAATTATCGCTACTGGCCATTGAGTATGGCGTTAAAGTGAAATCGCAACTGCTGCTTCCGCTGGCCCCATCCATCCATGACTCCTCCTCATCTAATTGGTCACTCAATGAATCCAAGTCCATAAAATCTGACAACAAGCCATCATCCACAACGAACTTGGATACTATATCACCAGTGCTTATACCCATCGCCACTTCCCGCTCAGACGGCGGCATCTGCTTCTAAACTCCACCGCGAATTGAACCACCTGCATTGATCGAAAGCGACCAGAGACCACAGACATCAGGACAGGAATATAACGAGTTGTTTTCTACGTCATGCTAAACAGTTACTAGAACCAGGACCCAAGTCAATGTCCAGCTTTTGAAAACGAAAGTACTTACGCTGCACCACGACAACGAACACAGCAATGAAGAAGAAAAACAAAAATAAAAAACGAAACCAATAATTATATTCATAATAATAGAGTCAACTCGCCAGTAAGGATGTTCTCATAATCTCAATGATCGCATCATCTACCATTTCTCTAAAGCAGCACGATCCATCAATGTGATCTAATGTCAACTTTATGGTAGCGAATTAAGCTTTTTTGATAAAAATAGAGCTTTTGATTACAAAAACTGCTGTTGGCGATTGAGCTTGAGAAGAATCTAGTTCTACAAAAACTATCAAAATACTAACTGCAGTCCTTTGATCTCGGGAAATACAAGAATGATTCACCCTCAACAATGTGAAGATTACCGTTATAAAATGCCTCACTTTCATTGTCACTCAGCTAGCCTTCGACTTTTTCAATGGGTAGACAGTAGATTGACAGTATTTAGTCTAGGAGTTGCAAAACACTTACGAATGACAACAAAATAAGTTCGAACTGGCTGCAAAAATCGAGTTACCACCAAAAAGGCCGTAATATGCTTACTTATATCAAAATCTTCTAACCATTGCAAAACGATGTCACTGAAAACTGCCTATTGAACACGAATCTCTGCTATGATAGAGTCAACACTAAATCATAAACAAAGTTGGAGAAATGCCTTACAGACACTCCGCGCCTAGTTCAAAGCTCGACCACTAACGTTTAAGTATTACATGTCCCTACAATTTTGTTCCAGAGATACAGAAGAACGAACGATACTTGAAAAAAAGCAAAACAACATATATATATATATATATATATATATATATATATATATATTTCTGCAGAATTCGGGAACCTGACTACGAATTGCAAGTTACCACATCCAGTTGAGAACAAGCAGCACAAGGTCTGACTTGAACAAGGGACCTTCGTGCACTCTAGATCATCATCCTGGGGTAAGAACGACTCCAAGACAACTCATCTAGAAGGTTGAGCACACCATCGTCAAGCCGTTGAAAACGTGACAATTCTAAGTCGCTTCAAATGACGGAGGAATAATCTGACAGACGGCCATGCTCTTACCTACTGAGGGGCGCGATTACTATCGAGAAACAACGCCTATCTCTACTACGCTAAATTGAACAGAAATGAAGCCCAAAACTAAACACTATTAGTTTTCTCTCTCCGACATTTCTACAAATTCCATCCAGATACCGTCGAAACGCGACTACACTACCTCTCTACCGACCATCGTTGAATCCCTTAACACCTTCGGCCCAGGAAATTTCGCAAAACCAAAACAGCAGACTCAAACACGAGAATGACGAGCACAAACCTCTCAGCGTCCACGCACAAGGTGCATTGACACCATGATCGACCTCCCGAGACGCTCGCTCTCTGCACCTGTCCAATCCGTGTCTTTCCCTTGCCCCGCACCTCGAATACTCGACAGACTTAACAATAATCGATCACATCAACCCCCCCTCACGTTCACTACCAATGCATCCTCTGCCGAAACAGGAACGGAACTGATCGACCACCGAATTACTCTTCTCCAAGTCGGCTGAACGTGCAAACGGAAGCGGAAGAAAAACTGCGAGACGATCGGTGGCGTCTAAATGCCTGCGAGACTTCATTTTTGGGAACCCCCCCCCCCCCCCAACGAGTCCATGATACCTACCAACCCGACCAGGTCGGTCGGTCATAGCGCAGGTACTGTCCTCCCCTAACACCGCACTGATTCCTGGCGTTTTGGGGTTCACGAAAACTCGTATTCAGGCGGATGAATCGAAAAGAAATTGTCTCTCTCTCTCCTCCTCTCCTCTGGCTCGTTTGCATCCAAGCAGCCCTTTCCTAAACCCTTCCCTTAAAATAGTATATTGGTTTATTTTAAAATAATAATGGGGGTGCCCACGAGATACGAAAAATAATAATGCTAATACTAGTAAGTTTCTTTTTATAAAGCATGTAAACCAAGGGAGTGTGACATTGCTTGTTTAGTGTGACCCAGTCACTACAAAACAATCACCTCCCAATCTAATCAGTCTCTGCTCTCTTTCTCTCCCTCTTTCTGTCCCTTAATTTTTTCAAATGGTTACAACTGAATACATGCAGTTAGCCATAACACAACAGAGGAGAGACTTGGGGAAGGGGGGGGGGTGCAACTGTCATGCCATGGTAGTTACAATTGTGGAGTCACGTTGATTCTCTGGAGGGTTCCTTTCAAAGGACAATGACATTCTTGCCCTACCTCTATACCCCCCCCCCAAACTCTCCAGTATGATTGGCCACTCAGTCAGTCAGTCAGTATATCAGTCATGAGCTTAAGCACAAAGCCCCTACTAAAAAACACAGATTGTGCATTGGGAATCCAACTTTCTCCTTCTCCTTCCCCTTCCTCTATTTCCAAGGACTGCCTACAGTTTCCCTAAGTTTGTGGCAAGGTATGTTACTAGGACCAGGAGGGTTATGAAGAGAGGGAGGCAATCTGTTGTTGGTTGCTGTACATTCTCCAGGATGGAAATGCCCACTTGCAAAGTCTTCCTTCCACTTCTTCATTGGTTTCTATCTCAATACCCCACCTGTCTCTCTGTTCCCCCTCCAAGTCAGCCTACACATAATAAATGGGGAACAATTCCCTCAAGGGGAAGAACCAAACTAGTTATATTCCTGCAGTGTGAGTGAGTGAGTCAGCCAAAGGAGGGTGCTTTGCCCTCTAGGCACATGGTTCTGAAGGAAGGAAGTTGCATGAGCATCCAGCCTCACACCCCCCCCCCCTCCATGCCCAAGGTCACCCATTCATTCCATAACTCTCTTTCCCTTGGGATGCAGCGTCAAGCTGCTGCTACAGCCTCCTTTGTAGTGAAGTGCTGCACCATGGTTCCCACCACCACCTCTGTATTCTATTATCCCAAGAAACATTCCTTGAATTGTCACACTGAACCTGTAATGAAATAGCCCACCAAGGACCATCCTCTAGGGTAAAATTTTGAAACCATAAGTTGTGTATAAAAATTGTATGTGTGAATATTGAGTTGAGGAAGACTGGGTCTCATTCTGATAGAATTAGTAGACAATTAAAGGGATTTTGAGAAGCATCTCAAAAGATATTCCCAAAAGGTCATGCTACTACTTGTTAACTTGGATGTAACAACTGTGGGTGTGACTGGATGTTGGAATTTGTACCTTGCAACACACTTCTTCCAGGTTTTGATGGAACATAAAATTTGGGTATCTTGAATGACATATGCCTCAGGTAAGTGTAATAATATAAGATCATGGGATGACAGTTTTGTTAAATAAGGGCAACTGTAATGCATTATAAAATCTTAAAAGGAAACACTGTACTAAACCTGTCTTGCAGTTTATTTTATCATTCTTCATGCAGATCCTGGACATGAGTTGTAGAAATATGCAAGAAAAAAAACGAAGGAAACAATCTTACTATTTTTTATTTTATTTTTTCAAATCTGTCAACTGTACTAGTTATTACACTGTAGCAAAAGCTATAAGAAATATTTCTAAATACATTTCAGAGCAAAACCAAGAACTTTCCTAACAGTCATTCCACATTATAATTTTTCTAATAGTAAAACTTCAAGCTTCTGAACAGTTAAATATGAATATATTCATCACTCATGCATTTGAAGCTGCACAACTGAGTCTATGTTCCTGCAATTGTCTTATCACTTTTCAACTTTCTCATTTTGATTTTTTTTGATATGTATGTATCAATGTATGTAAGTAGATATACTTACACATTCTCACTTATCATTGCATACACAAAGTATTAATTTTGGTCTAAGTCAACTAAAAATAGTTGTTGTTTGTATTGTATTGAAGCAGTAACAACAACAACAATAAATTTACCTATGGTGGATAACCACTAGTGAGGAATATATATATATATATATATATATATATATGTTTAAAATTTTAAAAATCAAAGTTTGTTGAAATGATTGTTAAAATCACATAGACCAATTTCATTTTTTACACTTTTATTCACTTTTACAGTGTAAATTCAATTGAGAAATTAAGGATAAAAAAATAAATACAAGGGAAGAAGGAAAAGAAGATATCTATGTGTCTATGTAGGGCATGTGCATTGGGAAAATTCTGAGGATGGGAAAGGAGAAAGAGATACATGGATGGTTGCCCTTAGCTCTGTTAGCATCAGCATCATAAGTCCAGCTTTGAATAGGGGAGACAAACTGATTAGTTACATGAGATTCAGGTGAGACTGGTATCAAAAGGGAGCAACTGTGTTTCCAGTTCTCATTGGCACACAGTGATAGAAACCGCCTATAAAGATAATAAACAAATAAATAAAAACACATGTACACACCACAGTGAGAGTGAATTGAGAGGTGGAACCAAGGCCTAATCAAAACTTTACTTGCTTGATTTCTGGGGTGATCTATCTGGACTTCTCCACTCACTTGGGCTTGGTTGGTCCCATTCAAGTCCCACAATACCTGCAACATAATGTGGTAGATAGGAGGGTTGTAGTGCTGGTTTTGTGTGCAGGGGCCATACAGTGTGAGTTGAGCAGGCCTCTAAATGTTGGCTATCTAAAAATAGGTGCCAAATTTGCTTAATGTAAAACAGGCTGAATACCTAAATTAGCATTGTTTTTGTTATGACCAAAATTGCAAATTTGCACACCCTAAAACCATCTGACCAAAATTTTCCATGTCAAAGCACCATACACCATTCCAGCCTCAGCATGCTCTAGACTTTGGAGTTGAGATTCGTTCTTGTGATGTTCATGATGCTGTTTCTTTGGTTCAATGTTTGTTTTGTATGGACAATGGTCAAGGGGATAGAGATGAGCCCAATGTGAAGCATAGATGCATTGTGAATGTTCAATTATGGAAGCAACTGTTCTGCAAAGAAAATTATTGCAGTCACAATGAATGCCAACATTTTGTTGAATGGGAATCATACAATTTGTTGACAAACAAAGCAAATAAATCATATCTTGTAAACAAGAAGAAGTGAACTATGGATAAATTTTTGGATAGCCCCAATGATGAGCTCTACTTTGAGATTTTGGATTCAATTGTTCAAAATATCATTGAAGATGCATTCTTCTGTCTAGAAGACGATGAGGAAGATCATTTTGAAGCCATCACAATGAAAAACCCATTGAAATTGTTCTCTAAATAGCCAAACAAATTATATTTTATGAAGATTAAGAATTCCACTTGATTTGAACTTGCTTTGAAGCATACATTCGTTGGTCTTTTCTTCCTACAGATTGTTGCACTCATCACCCATTACAAGGAGAAGTTCAAAAATTTGAAATTAGTTGGTTTCAACAACCACATGGTCAGCCAGTTTGTTTGTATTCTTGTGGGCATAAACTTACAAATCATCTTTAACATTCTTAGCAATGATTTTGTAAGGTCTTTCATCCTTGCTAGAGAAAGTTCTTGCCATTAAGAGATATTATTCTTTGATATTCAAATCAGAGTTTGAGTTGATGGTGTGATTTATAACTTGCATTTGGTTGCCATTTCCATTCCATTCCATATTACCTCAAACATTACCTTATCTGTTTGCAAAATATTAGACAATATACATTGTGGCTGGTATGGTAAATTAATTGTCTTTAGCTCAGATGGTGAAAACACCATGAGAAGTCAACATGGTGGCATAGCCATCCTTCTTGATATGGAAGCAACTAAATAAACGCTTTGCATTTGGTGTCTTTTGCATCAAATCAATATTGTAATCAAAGAAAGAGTCATTGAGATGAATTCAAGTGACTTCTATAAGTCAATACATGCATTTAGCGTTCATCTTCTAGTGCAAAAGAATCTTGTATTTGAAATGGATTTGAAGTGCTCAAAGGATACAAATCTGTGGACTTATTTCATCTCAATATTGAGATGAAAGCTTTGCCATTGTCACCCACTACTACAATGAATTGCAGAGAAGAATCTTATGTCTGCACCGACATTGTTATGGTAGATAATATGTAATTGCAGTACATCTCATATTAGAAATCTCCAACATTACACTAGTCATTCTGCAGTCTTCAAAAATAATTCTATCATAACAAACTATATAGATTAATATTTTATTTGTGAATCAAATTGGTCAACCTCAATGACACCTTTCAAGACGTTTCTAAGTTCTACATGCACAATTGTTGGTGGATAGAACTACGTAGTGTCCTTGCACATATCTATAAACAATAATTATGGATCTATAACATGTTTGTTTTGTTATCAACTTAAGAGCAATCCTGTATGCTTCTAAAAATCACTAAATTTTTAGTATGTTTGGTTGAAGGAATCTCATGCAATCAAGCGGAGCAAGATGTAGACAATAATATTTTGTTGGAAGTGGTCCCACATGTACATTCATTAGCATTGTTCTTAACCCTCGTTGCAATCACACTAGAAATTATTGGTTGGAGGTTGATGTAGAAACAATTGAAATAGATCACAAGTTGTTAATCAAAGCATATAACAACAAGATGGCAACTACAATTTGTATTGATTGGCTCAATCATAAGATCACATTGAATGATGCTTAGCACAATGTCAAGTGTTGATTCATACACCTTCACAACTTATGTGGGAGATTGGCTAATGAGTTTGCAAATACAACATTG